TGTACAGAATTTCACTCTGTAAAGTGCTTTGGTAAAATCTTTTGGATAAATCTTTTAAAGCTCAAGGATCTCAAGAAAATCTTTTAAAATAAGTGAAACAAGTTACATGCTATCGTATCCGAATATGGTTATTTATACCAAAAAACGCACTTTTTCTGGGGAAGCATGCTTTTTTCTTTATCAAATTTTAATTTATCTCCCCCAAATTTTGGTGGGGGATAAACATTTTCGAAAAGCTTGCCCTTATAGTTTAACATTTATAACCGATCAAAAATTTGCTACTCTAATGTTTTTCAAATGTGTCACGTTTCTCGTCATGCTTAGTTAAACGACAATAATTCTTTCACAAGAAGTTATAAGCCCACGTCCCAAGGATAAATATGTAATTCCATGGAGAATTTAGACGAATGAAATAATTTTTATTAATTACTTTGCTATTGATAAAAAATGAATTATATGGATTTTTGATCCTCAAATTATGAAGTGATGAAAAGTGATGACTATGTTTGAAAAATATGGTCCGAATAGTTTAAGTGTTAACATTATTGCATATTTCGCTTTATGTCAAAAGATTTTTAAACGAATTGAAACATTTTTGTTCATAATTATTAAATTTATTTATCTAAGGATAATTCAATATAATTTCTGATAATTTTTCATACTCATCTACTACTTTTTATTTAACTTAATAAGAGTGGAAAAATTTGAATTTATAAGTTATAAAAATTTTTGTATTCAATTTTTTATGAATGTAATTTTAAATAGCAAAATATAAAAAGTGAGTGTTATCTATTCAATAGTTTTTGCTTATCTTTTTTTTTAAAAGTGCGTGTTTAAAATTAGGTTTCTTAAAAACTATTTGACCAATTTCATCAATTTTTTTACTTTACGTTTTAAAAATGAATTTTTTAGATTGATGTAAAATGTTTATAATTATTTTTTTTACTTCCATTAAATAAAAGAATAAAAAATAAATAGTTATTAAAATTAATTTTATTTTGCACGGTGTACGATGATTGTCAATATATCTTTTCTGAAGTTTATATGCGCTTTTTTTCGAATCAATGCTTTGAAATCAGTAATTTGAAAGACTTCAGTCTGAATTATCCAAAAAACTTTTATACATGCACAAAAAATTCTTATTTACCTAAGTTATATAGTGGTCTTAATATTTATTTGTAGCTAGTGAATTAGTTTCGGGAACGAAGCAGAATTTCCTTGTAAAATTGAGTGGACAGTTGGGTACTTGCACTTCAAGAAGAAAAATACCACGGATACCCACAGATGCTCCAGCTGATCGTTTATAATCAAAATGGCGTGTTAAATTTGAGCAAAATTTCTATACATAAGTTGGGATATCAATTAACGTGAAATTAGTTAAATACAGCTACTACATCGAATTNATACCCACAGATGCTCCAGCTGATCGTTTATAATCAAAATGGCGTGTTAAATTTGAGCAAAATTTCTATACATAAGTTGGGATATCCATTAACGTGAAATTAGTTAAATACAGCTACGTATCGTGCATCGAATTCGTTGAAATGTAAAGTTTTCACGTCTACGTCTTTTATTTAACTTAGATTTATTATTTATTTTTGTATTTTATTGAAACAGTGATTAATTTTTGTTTCAGTGTACCTGCAACTTCTTTGCATAATTAGTTTGTTTTTGTCTATTAGTATGACATGGCTTCCTGCCTGTCTTTGTGTTAAGTAAGAGATAGTGAAATAATTGAAATCTTTGAGAAATAATCTTTTTGTAAGAATATAGAATGTGTCTCATAAGAGAATTGATACTTGATGGGCTTTGCTTACTCGAAATAGAATAGAAAGAAAAGCTGCCAACTTAAACAAATACCACGTTTCAACAACCAGGATTGAGATACCCGGATTACGTCACTTGCAGGTATCTCATTGAGTTTATTTTCTTCCCCATCAAAGGAGTTACATGAGCTTCCATGATGAATGAGTTCCATAATGAGCTTCCATAATGAATAAGAAATAAAACAAAATACGCAAAATATTTCGTACTCATAAAAAGCAGTCGCGTCCTGTTCGCAGGCTCAGGACATTCCGTTTTGCAGTTCAAATTAGAATTAGTTAATGACGTCAGGGATGTTGATTATTAAATAAGCAACTTTCAACACACAGATTTATTTTGCAGTTCTACTTACAAAAATATAAGTGGATGGTAAAGAAGAAAAAAAAATTCTTATACACTTTTTGTAACAGTAAAGAGAGTATTTAACTGAGACAAATTATAAAGAATCAGCAAAGGGGCTAAAATGAAATAAACCATACCCATATTAAAAACTCTACAAGGAAAACTCAATCCTCAAAAAGGAAAATATCCTATATACACAAATCCTATATCCTATATATCCATTGGCTAAAATAATAAGTACTGAATTCGAATATTACTCATAATAAAAGAAATGTATTTTGTAACAGTATCTATTTTATCGTGAGCACTTACTGATTATAAAAGAAGAAATGCTAAAATATTCAACAGAATACTAGCAAGTTGAATATTTTCTTGTGAAAAAAATAGACTAAAAAAGAATAAATTTTTTTCAACTAATTTAACGAAATTTTGCGGCTAATGATTTAAAAGCAGTAGATGTAGTGTAGTTTTGAAGATATAATGAAAGAGTGGTAAGAGGAAGTATTTCAATGTCATTAGATCAAAAATTAATCACATTTGAATATGAATAAAGTTGTTTACAGACTTCTGAACTTTTAAATGTTATTCGCCTTCCAAATACACCATAATTTTTTCATTATTTTTTAACTGTTTTTCCCAAGTTAAAAATGCCAAATTACAGCTTTTTTTGCTATTAGAAATCGCTAAACAAAAGCATCTTGTAAGATATTTTGGCCTTCACCCTAACACAAAAAGACAAACATTAATTTATATAGATACAGATTTAGTTCAATAATTATATAAATCCAGAATAAATTGTATTGTTTACTCTTATTTACCGGAATTTCAATCTAAACACTATCATTAGATAAAATCCTTTGAATCCCATGTAATAATAAGCCGACCGGCCAGTGTAGGGGTTAGGGAACTGCCCTTGCATCAGAAAGGTTCTGGGTTTGAATCCCGTGCAAGACATGGATGTTCTTTCCTTCTCTGTACTATCTGTCCTTACTGTGGGAGCAACATTGGCCGACCTAATATGGTGCCCCTGAAAGAGTGGCCAACAAATCTGCCCTTCAGACACCTGTATGACGTAGGTCATTCCCCAGGATGTCATTGGAAAAAAAATGTAATAATAAAAACTAAGTAAATTTGAAAATATTTCAATGCAATATCCTTAAACATTTAAAAATGAAGGGAAAAATATTTTAACTAAATAAAATGAAATATTTAATTTTAAATGGTGATAGATTTATTATTGTGATAGGAAAATTTTGTCTATTAACTATTTAAAATTCATAAAAGTAAATTTAATAAAAGTTTGTATTAATTTAAAGGATACTGATGAAAGCTCAATCCAGTCAATGAAGACAACTCCAAAACCAAACTCCACTAAACCATAGACGAAATTTTATAGGAAAATAATTAGTTTTTTTTAATGATGAATCACAAACACCAGAAGTTTAAGAAGAAATTGAAGCAGACTATTATTTAACAGGACTAGATCGGAATGTCGAATATACAAGTAAACAAACCATCGCATACCGTTCCAAAATCAAGAGAGGCTATTTTATTCCAAAATAATTTCAAAATTATTCGCCAACTGTGCGTAACCACGGCTCGGTACTCTTCTCTAATTTGTAGCAGCCGTAAGGAGGAAAAGAATTTTGAATTGAAGACCAGAAGATTTTTAACATTGTCGTTATAAACCCAACTTTGCTCCGTGTGTTTTTAAGGATTATTTTTATGCAGACTTTTTATTCACGTTAGTCTTTGAAACGTCCAATTTTTTTCCCGGAAGTTATAGTTGGGGTGAATTTTCGTTTGTTTGTAATTTTTGTAAAAAAGGGATTTCCTGCAGAGAACTTGAACAAAAAGTTTGTACTATATTTTAAAGAATAATTATGGAAGATACAAATATGGCTATATACAGACGGTAAAAAATTAATTAGTAGTAACAAAAAAATACGCTCACATTAAAAACCATAAATTAGTACAAATTTTAATAACGCCATGCGCGGTCACAATTATATCTTAATATTTTCCTTTTTAATCAAATTTCAACTATGGTATCTGTGATGCCACAATAGGCATTACATATTTCCTAGCTTTTAAAATTTCTTTAACTTCTTAAACTTATTTTTTTAATAATTTTTAAACGAATTTTGATTAAATTAAATCAATTATTCAATTTTTATCAAAATTTATAAAAAGCGAATATAACATAATTCAATATTATAGTAGAATTCAATACTAATGTAGACTAATTAATTCACTATTTCATTAATTCACTAATTCACTATTTCATTAATTCACTAATTCACTATTTCATTAATTCACTAATTCACTAGCTCTTTATTCTGTATTTCTTACCACATATTATTTTTCTATTATTCACCAATCTTGGATCACATTTCATGCTCCCTACTGTCTATTGGGAACAATTCATTCACTTTTCGATATCCAATTTTTGGGGACTAGGGATGACCTTTTGGGCCATCCAGTCCCAACGGTAAAATATCAATCTTAACAAAAATTCTCGATATGAAGAAAATGATTTTTCTTCATTCATTTTGTATTCGAATTCTCAGTTTTTGTTGCTATGTAATAAATATATATTTGGAAATAGTATAACTGCTGTATTATAAAATACAAGTCATGCTTGACCGTTATCTAACAGCAGCTGAAATAAATGATTTCCTCCTGTGATCTAAAGACCACGATTTTAGATGATGGAAAGGTTAAATGATTAAGTGAAGCTTTTATCTGAATGAACAATCTTAATTATATATTCACTTTGTTTGCTGTAATATTCTTGTACTAAAGCATCACAGAAATTCCAATGAAAGAAAATGAGACATTATGTGTAAATACCACATCTTTATTTACATTTTAACGTAGGTATATAAAAGAGAAATAACGGCAGAAGAAATATAACGCATCATTAAAGACGGCTATCAGCTACGATAAGAAATGAAATTCCTTGGTTTCATGATACTATTGAGCTTGGCATTCATCTGTGTAAGTACTAAAAATAATATAACTAATTCTATTAGAAAATTAAGAGAAAAATGCGGACTGATGCTGTTGCTCAAAACGAACTTCTTATTGCAAAAATGTAAATCAGTAAAGCAATTTTTTCGGCAATTATCCTCTTTAATATAAACCTATTACCACAGTATTTCGAGAAGGATTCTCGCTATGAAATCAGTGCCATTTACTGTATTCCCAAACCCAATAACCAAAATTACAAAAATTTAGATAATTAACGTCAATAATAGTAAGGCGAATTTTTACAATTCCCCTAAAGTGCATTTTTAAAATTACTTTTACTTTTATAGTAAATTAAATACCTGAATCTATATCAGTTTATTTGGTACATAATAAAACAACATGAAATATAATGTTATCAGTAGTACTAATTTTTAAAATTGATAAAGCATTATTGGCGCCATTAATAGTTTGGCAATTTCTTACGGTTCCTGGAATAAAACAAATATCTTTTCTCCCTTAATTTTGCTCTTTAGTACATAAATAATATTTTTTAATTCAATTACAATTTAGTTTAAGCTATAGGGACATTTTAGACTTTTGTCTTGCTCTCTCGATAAAAAAGGTTTTGTTTTCATGACTTCCGGAGCTGGTACCCCCTGAAGACGTCAGCTTTGGTTGTCATATTTATCCATTTTTTCATATTTTGATTGTCTCTTCAGCAATACAATAATTCACTATATTGTCAATAACATAAAATATATTTTTTAATATCTAAAAACTCTTATATATTGCATTTTGAACAATATTAGTCAATTAAAAAAATTTTACTTTGGAATAACCCCAAATGGTTGTTTCAGATAAGGCCAAAATCCCGCTGTTCTTATGTTAAATCCTGCATTGTAGGTGTTGACATGTTGACATTTCATAGAGCTAAATTAAACAAATAACTAAACGATTACAATGAATTTCATAAATTTAATTAAAATTGATAAAATAAAGCTAAAAATCAGCAATCAAGCTAGTATTTAAGCTTTTTGTATTAGCGTGGCTTGAAAACTGTCAAGACCAGTGTTGTCATTTTTGCTTCGCATTGAAAAAAAGGGGTAACTTTTCATATAAGGGGTAACTTCTAAAATTCGAGTAAAAACTGCTTATGAATTTCTCTGTGTTATTGTGTTACTTCCTTAAATTTTAAGTTGTTGTTAAAATTCGTAATAATACCCTAACTCTAATATTACTTCATTCTTAATAAGCTGATCTGTAGAATAAGGGTTTTGCAACACGAGTGTTATTAAAAATATCTTTAAAAAAAGAATCAAAAGATTTCATATTAAAAAAAGTATTCATTTTTTAAGGGGCATACATTAAATTATTTTCTATCAGAACTCAAATAAGAGCGACATTAATTATTTTCAAATTTCTATCGATTTTCTTAAAAAAAGAAAGAAAAAAACATCTGTGATTAAAAACTAAAGGAAAGAAAAAGGAAGCCTGTTAAAATTTGCGTTTAGCTTAATACGCTACTAAATCAATCTTGTAATTTCAGTTTATGAAAGGAATAGATATTTAATTATACTGTGAAAAAAAACACTGTCTACTTATGTTGGGTATTACGCACATTATCGTGAGCAGATTTGCTGCCACAAACGCAGACGCACTTTAGATATGTTTTGTTGAGCTTTTTAAATAAAATTACTAAAATGTGCCAAACAAATGTTTTCTTTTTCTTGAAAATGATTTCTGGAATAATATATTTTTCTTTTTATTTCTGATGTATTTTCCAAAGACTGCTGGCCAATTTTGTAATTTAATTGAACCATGTGATGAGGGTTTTTGCTGTTCTGGTCGATACGTATCATTTAAAAGATGTAAACCACTTGCATCAGAAGGTAATTATAATGATCCCTATTCTAATACCTAATCACAAACAAAGACTTGTGATTTCCCCCCACGTAGTTGAAATATATCTGAATCAATCAAACCCTCCTATCAAACCACCACAGGAAAAAAATGGGGATAAATACGAAAGAAATCTACATTTTTTCTTGCTTTTGTTCAAAATAAATAAAAATTCTACTGTTGTACTTGTTTGCAATTTAGATAAAATGCAAGCAAAGCCAAGTTGATAGGCCTCATTATTATTTAGTTATGAAGTTTAAATTTATGAAAATTTTAATTTTTGATTTATACTACCTTTACTCTAGCGATTTGTAAATTCTTAAGTCTTCCGAAGCCAGATGTTTATTGTTTACGCAATTATTATTATTTTAATGAATTATTAATTTGCTACTTGTCTTGTTCGAATTCAACTAATAGATAACATAAAATTTTTTTTATCAGAAAACTTCATTGTACTTTTAGTTTCTAAAATCGACTTCAATCGACATGGTTAGGATTTCGTTTACCTGGCATCAATAAAGTGCACAGGTAAAAATTAAGTAATTCGTTATGACGGCATGATCAGTTATTTATTGCATATTTATTGCATTTATTAATAATTGACTTTTATATGCATATATATATATATAACACAACAAAAATAAAAAGGATAAAACAAATGAAATATTAATGAATTAAATTAAGAATTATAATAATAATAATAATTTTTTCTTACTGTGCATAACTGCAAATGCAAAAACTCATAAAATAAGTTGATATGAAGGCTGAATAATCCTACAGGGTTTTGGTAATTCAAATAAATAGGCTTCTTATTAATTTGTGTTAAGCTTATTTAACATATTACTTCGGATTTTACCATCGATGGCAATGATGATTTCCCATAGCAGAAATGTTGGAATTTTGCACAGATTTATCTAGCTATGAAAATATGAAAAAGTCACGCATTTTCGCTGGCTACTGATATTTAAACAAGGATTCTAAAAGAGAATTGCTTGTAAGAATATGCTTAACTTAACCAAATTCATTCAAATGTGAAAATTTNTATGACGGCATGATCAGTTATTTATTGCATATTTATTGCATTTATTAATAATTGACTTTTATATGCATATATATATATATAACACAACAAAAATAAAAAGGATAAAACAAATGAAATATTAATGAATTAAATTAAGAATTATAATAATAATAATAATTTTTTCTTACTGTGCATAACTGCAAATGCAAAAACTCATAAAATAAGTTGATATGAAGGCTGAATAATCCTACAGGGTTTTGGTAATTCAAATAAATAGGCTTCTTATTAATTTGTGTTAAGCTTATTTAACATATTACTTCGGATTTTACCATCGATGGCAATGATGATTTCCCATAGCAGAAATGTTGGAATTTTGCACAGATTTATCTAGCTATGAAAATATGAAAAAGTCACGCATTTTCGCTGGCTACTGATATTTAAACAAGGATTCTAAAAGGGAATTGCTTGCAAGAATATGCTTAACTTAACCAAATTTATTTAAATGTGAAAATTTAAATATTTTGATTTTTGAAACGTGATGTCATTCAGACGATAGGGAATTTTTGGGATTTTCTTAACAAGCATTTTTCTCAGATTTATTACCCTTTAATTTCAGAAAATAAACTTTTAGTTGGCGTCTTGACTTTTTATGGCTCTTTGTGAAAGAACGACATCTACATCTTAAAATTAATAAGAGAAGTTATTTTGTGCTTATGATTTAATTTAAAAAGACTCGTATGAGGCATTCTATATTACACACGCTCGCACGCACGACAACTCCCCACGCACCCCCACACACATTTGTGAACCTTCTTAGGTTCTTACCTAAGTTAAGAACCTATGAAGCTAGTTAAGAACCTAAGCAGCACCGGACGTGTTTCACGTATATTTCTGAAGGACAGTTTGCTGTTTTGATTCTTACATATGCTCTGAATTGAAGATGTATCAAATTTCTCAGTAAGATATGACTTATAATAAAGGAAGCGCAGAATTTCCATAGCGTTCAAATATATGGAAAAAATCCAAATTTGTAAATAGTCCAGGAAGATCCTCCCCCTATTCGCTTAACCTACAAACCTTCATGATTATTAGTCATTCATCATTGTTTTTTTCTCGAAAGTCAATTATTTCCACAACTAAAAGAAGGAACGCTTTATTAATAATGTATTCAAATAGTTCACACTATATAATATACTATATGCACTATATATAACAATTTATTATTAATGAATTCAAGTTTTATGTATAAAAATTTTGTCAATATGTTAATCATAACGAAATGAACGTTTACCAGGATTTGAAAAAAATTATGATTTGTTTGTGAAAAAAAGAACGTTATCTAAAGAATTTAGATTGTGTAACTCAATACGAAAAAATCAAGTAAAATTGCAATGCAATTTAAATAGGGAAGGGGTTTTATTACTCTTGTATGAATTTTTTTTAATGGTTTAAGAATTTTAATATAATTGTTAAGATTTATAATTAGCAGCATCTTATGTTTGTCTCTCTTTTTTTCTTTTGACACCAATATAAGGGTGAGATTACGGAATAGAAATCTCGGGAGAAATTTTTTTTTCTACACTAAATAGTCGGTATTTAATTTAAAGCATCAAAGCTAGAAAAGAAAATCACAAAGAATGTATTCAAAATTCCAGTATTTTTTAATATATTTTTAATTTGAAAAAAATAAATAAAAAGAAAATAAACTTGCTTTAAATTATAAAATGAAACATGTTAAATTTTAACATCGTAGTTGCATTTTAGTAGGTAGCAGGCTGACTTTTATGTTTTTCAGTTAAAAATTCTTGAACTAAGCATGAAATGCAAATTTTTTTAACTCCGTAGTACATTTAGTATATTTTTCTAAAACCGAATATAATTTTAAGCGTAAGACTTAAAGTTTTTTAAGAAATTCAGTAAGAAAAAATCGTAAAAAAGCTCCTGAAATTGAAGGCATAGGAATTCTGTATTATAGAATTGAGATGCAGGAATTTTGAAAAATACTCGTGTACCTACCAGTTTCTAATATCAAAATAAATTCCTGTTGTTCAAAACAGTGTGAATTTAAGTTATGCAGTGAGAGTAATAAATATTTAACAATAAAAGTTAAAAATGCATCTAGTGATGTGTGGGTGTTTTCCTTGAATTATGAAAACATATATAGCTGTTCAAATTTAAACAGCACAATAACTCCTATTATTAGTTTTATGCAATATATTTATTCTTTTAAGGTGATAAGTGCGACAATTTCAGACGAAAATATTGTAATTGTGCAGAAGATTTGATTTGCGTTTCTAATGATGACGTAAGTGTTATTATATTTTTCAATAGATAGATCAATTGAAGTAAAGTTAAATTTTTCAATATTTTTTTCGATATTTTGTTTATTTTTTAAATACAACTTTTATTTTAAAAAGTGTGTCAATGTTTCAATCTTAAAGTTTAACATAAATAATATTGTATAGTTATTTTTCTCGTTAAAATCATATGTTACATTTGAGTTAGTTATTTTTTCATATAATTCATAAATATTGTTTTTAATTTGACAATAGTAGAAATTGGAAAAAAATGNAAATAGTTAATAATAGACGACGAAAAATGCTATAAACGTCAGTTAATACAAACTGCAAAATATATATAAGCTCAAAATGAAGAATAAAACTAAGAAAAATTAAAGACATATGAAAAAAATGGGGGGGAAATAATAAGTAAAAAAATAACAAACAACAGTTTAAATGAAGAAAAAAAAAAAGGATGAAATTTTATTTGAAAAACCGGACAAAAAAACGGAAAAAAATGATATAATCTTTTCTTCAGCCCGCACGATTATATCCGCGAAACAGAGTGCTTTCTGATATTGTATCAATAAAGCCAAAGCAAAATATATGAATACAATAGTGTGAGGAGCACTCAAAAATTTTTTTATAAAAATAACAACAAATAAAATAGATCACAAAAAGTAAAAATAAGTAAAAATAACATGTAAAAACAGAAAATAAAATAAAATAAAAAAATAAAAAAAACATTAAAAAGGGGACCATAAAGCGAGTAGCAAAATCAGATCAACTTAAATGGACGGAAAATTTTTCAAGAATGATTTAAAAATGTTTTCGCAGAAAGATTGCCAGATTACAAAATATGAAAACAAAAGATGAAAACAAAAGCGTAACTTGAGTGTAACAAGAGTTTTAAAGTGTCGTTTTTACTGCACTGCTGAAGTGATTTGTTATTCTGAGCTTTGATTTGTTAGTTACCAAGGATGGGCCCGAAATGTATGTGCGCAAGGTAATATTATACTGGATAATTTTAGAAATTGATCATAAATAGTTTTAGAAGATAGATGTTTTTAAGAAAACATATAAAATAGAAAAGAGAAACATAAATAGCCTGTTATGCAAATAATTGTAGCCGCGGTTTTTCATGATATGGATTAGCACACAGAAAAATTATTTAAATTATCAAAGAAAAAAAAATTTGATAGATAATTTTAACACGGATTTGCCCGAAATGGATTTGCACATGGAAATATTAACAAAGAAAAAAAATTTTTAGTAGATAATTTTAGCCATGGATTTTCCCGACATGGATTTGCACATGTAAAAACTGTATAAATTAATAAAGAAATTTTTAGCAATCAATTTTACCCACGGATTTGCCCGGAATGGATTTGCACTTGGAAAAACTGTGTAGATTAACAAAGGAAATTATTTAGTAAAGGAATTTTTAGTAAATAATTCTAACCACGGATTTGCCCGAAATGGATTTGCACATCAAAAAATTATACAAATTAACATAGAAATTATTTAGTAAATAATTTTGGCAATGCATTTACCTGAAATGGATTTGCACATGGGAAAATTATAAAAATCAACGAAAAAAAATGTTTAGTAAATATATCCACAAAAATATACGATTAATTCAATGATTTTATATGAAATTTTATTACTTTAGTTGGGTATCCATTGTTTTTTATCAAATTTTGAAAGAGTTTATCGATTTGTTTTTTGAATAAATTTAAAAAACCGGAAACTCTTCAAAATAAAAATCGATAAACTCTTTCAAAATTTGATAAAAAACAATGGATACCCAACTAAAGTAATAAAATTTCATATAAAATACGAAAATAAAAATTGAAAGAAGAAAACACGAAGAAAGTTAAGAAAAACAATAAGTTTCAACAGTTAAAGTTAAAAATTTCCGTCCATGTAAGTTGATCTGATTTCGCTACTCGCTTTATAGTTCAATTTTACTGTTTTTTCTTTTTATTTTATTTTATTTTCTGTTTTTACATGTTATTTTTACTTATTTTTACTTTTTGTGTTCTATTATATTTGTTGTAATTTTTATAAAAAAATTCTTTGAGTGCTCCTCACACTATTGTATTAATATGTTTTGCTTTGGCTTTAATCATACAATATCAGAAAGCTCCCTGTTTTACGGATATAATATTGTGGGCTGATGAAAGGATTATATATTTTATATACCGGTTTTTTNAAAGGGAAAGAAGTTCTATATATGTATATATATATATATATATATATATATATATATATATTCAAGAGCCATATATATATATATATATATTCAACCACTTTTCCAACAAGCAGATTATCATTTTCTTTAATCAGTTTCATAAATGCATTGACACGACGAGAAAAATGCGTTTAACACAACGAGATACAATTCAATGAAACGTTGCACATCAATATTTAATTGGCTGGTATCTTCATCGAGTCTGCCATCTGCAATTAATAGGGCTTTGCGAATATCCAACCAATGCAAATCATTAAAGCTCAAAGTATTAAACCAAGTTGCAGGACCAGGCATCGAAAAAATGCAATTAATTCATTGTGAGCTGTTCGCCAATATGATGCGGATTCTCTAAGATTCTTTAAATGTAAGTGAAGATCTTCGACGACATCTTCTTATCCTCGTACAGCTTTGCCACATACATTGATCGTCGACTGCACTCGTAGATACTCAAACATTGACAGTGTATAAAATAAATCATCTGTTCTTTGAAAACGGTTATCTGAGCCTAGAATTAGCTGCTGGAAATAATCCAGTGGCACTATTCTCACAGGACGTTCTTCATTCAAGCCATTTTTGCCATATAGAAAGAGATAACACCATGAGAATTCCTCTGCTTTCAACTCTTCATTTACATTAACAATATTGTCTTTAGTCTGGCATAAAATTTTGTTAATATCTCCATTTTCCTCAAATTCATCATTAGCATCTGGTTGTTCATGATCAATTAGTGCCATTACAGACGTCTGCATGGGGACAAATTGTAATGCATTAACTAGATGGCACGACAGTTCGGCCGCACATAAAAATTTTTATGGCACACTGACCAGCTGTGTGACAATTTCTGCGTGTGACAGTAATTATATTTAATACATATTAAAACGCACGCACGAGCGCGCTCATACTTCCCATATTCTTACTTTTGTACTCACTTCCAAAATCTCAATTTTCTTACTCACTGTACGCAAAACTTTTCAACTGATATGTGACATTAATTTGAAATAATCGAATCCACAACAAAAGATCGATAAAATATTAATTTTTCGTTATTTTGAATTCTATTTTACTTTGTAAGTCTTCTTTCTCTTCATTTTCACGCATTGTCATCCTATTTAGAACTATGTGTCAAATTTGAAGTCTGTAGCTAGTCAGGAAGTTAGCTTAAAATTGCCTACAAAATTCTGCCCGAGAAGACATTCCCGAAGGCAAAGTTAATATAAATAAGGTAAAATTGTGCAATATTTGAATATTTATCAGAAGATGTTGAATTTGGACCGTGAATTCAATTTTATCAACGTTTTTGCAATTGTTTGATTAATTTTTCCCTTGATCGTTTTCACAATTTACTTACTTGCCCACAGAAATGTGTTTAACTTGCAAATCAAAGACAATGACAGCCAAAGACGTTATACTAACCATAAAGTGTAAGAACCGAAGAAATATCAAATATTTTGTATTTTTAATAGTCTTCAATGCCAGTCTGTTGATTTTTAAATGATTTTTTTAATTAATTTTGATTCTTTTTTAATTATGATTACTGATTTTTTTTTCCTTCTCAGATGCCGCTAAAATCTTTTCCCATTCCAATGGTAAGGAATTTTCTGTCTGGATTATCATATAACAAGACTAATGTTAACAAAACTATGCATTGATTCAATGAACAGAAAATAGCAATTAGCATAAAATTTATCGCAACAAAATTTTTTTAACTGCTTACAGTTTAAGAAATATCAGATTAAAATTTCAAAACAATATTCTTCGAAAACAATTTTTCTGTTTGTCTCTTTATTTTTCATAACGTTAAAAATTAATGTTAAAGACAAATTTTAATTTAAAAAAATCTAAAATGAATAAAACTTTAATCGTGATTAATTAATTTCACTCGATAATAATATCAATAAATGTTTAAAAAAAATTATTCTATGATTGCTATCATATCAATATTTTTAAGTTATAATCAGAGATCTAGAGAGCAGGGTTGGGAAAAAGTGTAGTAATCTCTTCCTCAAATTAGTAAAAGTATTCCTCTAGTCACCATTTTTATTTATTTTTTTTTTCTGTTCTTTTTTTCTGTTTTTTTCTGGCGTCTCTAACATTTTTGACAAGCAGGCGGAATAGAAAATATTTCGTCTAGGGACGAATTTCTTTGTACTTTTTTGGCTCACAACTTTGCGTTCAAAACAAAAGTTGGTCTATTAATACCAAAATAAAAGAGTATTTTCTAATCAGCTTTTTAAAATAATTGGATATAAAAGATTTGAAAAAAAGTAACAATTTTAACGTAATAGAAGAGGCACTGTTTTGCGTTGAGCGATTTCTTTATTTTATTGAGTATGCTCAATGTTCTAAAATTCTGATCCAATATCAGTCAACATTTGCACTCTTCAAAAAGCGTTTTCCTTGTAGAAGGAGTAAAGAAATGGCAATTGAGATTAAAAGCTGGCGTTTCGTTAAATTTTAGCTTGGCATACATAGTTGATTTTTCCTATTTAATATTTTTTCTAAAAAAATAATAAAAATTGTTTTTGTAAAATATAGTCTTTAAAAAGTTTTTTAACAACATTTTGCTAATATGTTAATCGAAGTAAACAATTTCCTGGACATAGAAAATATTCAACTGCATTAAAAAGAGTTCATGCTGCGAAAAAATTTCTTTCTGTACTTGAAGCTTGTGTCATTTTCAATTTCAGCTTGGCGACGTGCGTATTCTTTAACTTTTTTTAAAAAGTAAATTTTTTTTATAAAAACTAGCTGTGATCATGTTTAATGGAAATT